CGGCGCTGAAATCTGAGCAACCCACTGCGCCGGCTAAAAAAGTGGCATTAAGATTCTTGGTGCTTTTCTGCTCGGGAATCTCTGGTCTGGCTTCCCTCTTGAGTCCCTTTTCCAATCAGCTGAATGGGTGACTCTGCCTTCCTGGAGCTCCAAACGTTGACCAAAAGGGGAGCCAGTCCCATTTACTCTGCAGTGAGAACCACCGCGCGGGCCACAAGAGTCGCGCTGGTGACCCATGGGGCTCCTCCACTGGGAATCTCCTGGTCCGTGAGCAACAAAAATTCATCTGAAAGTGTGGCGTCCTCTCATTCTCTGCGCTTTCACTGGGAGCTACAATCCCGAGCTGCTTGCTAGTGATCAGCCATCTTGGATCTCTCTCTGCCAGGTGACTTTAAATGGCCCACATTCTGGATTTTTCTAGCTATCTTGCCACAAATTCAGAATAAACATGTTGGGCAGGAATGCCACATGGGTGAGGGTATGTGTTCCTGGGATTACCAGCATAAGCCACCGCTCCTGGCCACATGGTCCTTCTTGATCTCCCAAGTTTAAAGTTAATACTCAGAGGCTGGGTGTGGTGGCTCATGCCTATAATCTCAGCACTTTGGGAGGCTGAGGAGGGTGGATTGCTTAAGACCAAAAGTTTGAGACTACCCTGGCCAACATGGCAAAACCCTGTCTCTACTAAAAATACAAAAAAAAAAAAATTAGCCAGGCATGGTGGCGTGTACCTGTAATTCCAGTTCCTCAGGAGGCTGAGGTAGGAGAATCACTGAACCTGGGAGCTGGAGAGACATGGTCTCCCTCATCAGGCTGGAATGCAGTGGCACAATCTTGGCTCACTGCAACCTCCACCTCCCGGGTTCAAGTGATTCTCCTGCCTCAGTTGCCCAAGTGGCTGGGACTACAGGCATAAGCCACCACACCCAGCTAATTTTTGCATTTTTTGTAGAGATGTGGTTTTGCCATGTTGGCTGGTCTTGAGCTGATGAGCTCAAGTGATCCTCCCACCTTGGCCTCCCAAAGTGCTGAGATTACAGGCGTGAGGCACCGTGCCCAGCCAGGGTAGGGGGTTCCTGTCTGCTTTGTCCCTTGCTGGGTGCCCAGCCCCTGGCCACATAATAGGTAATCAATAAAGATTTCTCAAATGAATAAAGCAAAGGGTACAGATGAGCACCTGCACATGGGAAGTCCATTCTTGGCTGCCACGCCACCAGGCTGGACACACAGTAGGCACCCTGGGAAGGTCTTTCTGGGGTCGAATTTTGCAGGAGGGGAAAGATGTCTGCTTCACCCAGCCCCTGTCTTATTACTTCACAGGAGACCAGCCGCTAACTGGGGCGTACACGGTGACCCTGGATGGACGAGGGCCCTCGAGGGTCATCTCCAAACATGACCTGGGCCACTTCATGCTGCACTGCCTCACCACCGATGAGTACGACGGCCACAGCACCTACCCCTCCCACCAGTACCAGTAGCGCTCAGTCCCCGTCTGGGAGGGTGGCATTCTGGGACATGAGGAGCAAAGGAAGGAGGCAATAAATGTTGAGCCAAGAGCTTCAAATTATTCTAGAGAACCCAGCTCTGTGACTCCTCCTCTCTCTGCCTCTGTCTGAGTATTTCGGTGTGTCTGCCTGCCTATGTGTAAGATTTTCATTCATTTATTCTGCAGCAGTTTATTGAGTCTGGCCAGGTGTGGTGGCTCATGCCTGGAATCCCAGGACTTTGGGAGGCCGAGGCGGGTGGGCCACTTGAGGTCAGAAGTTCAAGACCAGCCTGGCCAACATGGTGAAACCCCGTCTCTACTAAAAATACAAAAATTAGCCAAGCGTGGTGGTGGGCACCTATAATCCCAGCTACTGGGGAGGCTGAGGCAGGAGAATTGCTTGAATCCAGGAGGCGGAGGTTGCAGTGAGCCAAGACCACACCATCGCACTTCAGCCTGGGTAACAGAGGGAGACTTAGTCTCAAAAAAAAAAAGAAAAAAAAAATTAGCCAGGTGTGATGACATGTACCTGTAATCCCAGCTACTTGGGAGGCTGAGGCAGGAGAAGTGCTTGAACCCAGGAGGTGGAGGTTGCAGTGAGCCAAGATCAGGCCACTGCACTCCAGGCTGGGTGACAGAGCAAGACTCAATCTCAAAAAAATAATAATAACTTAGCTGGGCATGGCGGTGTGTACCTGTCATTCCAGATACTCAGGAGGCTGAGGTGAGAAGATGGCTTGAAGCCAGGAGTCCAGATTGGGCAACATAGCAAGACCCTATTTCTACAAAATTATTTTTAAAAACTTAGCTGGGCATGGTGGTGTGCACCTGTAGTCCCAGATACTCAGGAGGCTATGATGGAAGGTTAGCTTGAGGCTACGAGGTCAAGGCTAGCCACTGCACTCCAACTATAGGACAGATCAAGACCCTGTCTCTGAAAATAAAAAACGTTTGTGCTTTATTTTGAGGATTTACGCAAGGAGTGGAGCACCAGAGAGGTAAGGGTGTTGGGGGGACAGTTGGGTGTGGGTTTTATGAAGCTTCTTTGGTTACTCTGTGAAGGCGGATGGGAAGTGCACAGGAATGGAGGCTGAGAGCCCAGGGGGAGTTCGAGTTGGAGCCTGAGCTGTGAGGAGGCAGGGAGAGAGAGGGTGGAGGGAATGCCTGGGAGTCTGAGTGGACAGTTGTTGAGGGGTGGAGGGGAGGCATCAGAAAAAGGCTCAGGGCTGTAACCTGGGGACAGAATTACAGTAGCACTTTGGGGAGGGAGGCTGAGGCTGCAGTGAGCCAAGGTACGCCACTGCACTCCAGCAGACACGACAGAGTGGGACCCCCCCTCTCAAAAACAAAAACCCAAATGCAGTAGGGCTTTCCTGAGTTGGGGACCCTACAGGAGGAGCAAGTTTGGGAGGAGGAAGGGGAAGAATTGCTCCTTCCTAATTATGTCCTGTTTTTGGAATCTACTGTCCCTTTCTTTTGTTTCCAGGGACACCTCCCCCAGGCCTGGGTGAGCTGAGACGCTTTTTTCTCCCTACCTCTAACCCACACCACCCACCTACCTATACCCCTCCCCCTCATCCTCCCAGAAAGCCTTTCATCTTACATTGCAAACTGCAGAATGACTTGGTTGACAAACTCCAACCAGCAAGAACTGGTCTGAGGAGCCTTAAACCTCCCTTCCCAGAGGTAGCCTGGAGAAAACTGCCTTCTCCCCTTAGGGAAACTCGTGGTAGGGGTAGGGCACTAGCAGTGTTTTCTTTCTGCCTTATTTCTCTTTCTGTCACATCGCTGAGCATTTAGCAAACTTTCACTGGGACCGGCTATGTGCCCAGCCCGGTGCTAGGTGCTCCTGCAGACCAAGCGGTGGTTGACAGAGATATCCCTGGCACCTGCCCTTGGGAGGCTCCTCAGTTCAGACAGTGACTGACAGTCCAGGACTAGGATGGTGGCACAGGAGGCCATGAGATCCTAAAATGGATCCTGACCCAACCTGGACTGCCAGGGAGGGCTTCTGAGAGGAGGAAACCTTTGAGATGAGTTCTGATAAGAAGCAACCTGGGAACTGAGGGTATATCTTCAGGATGGAGAAACAAGTTTAAATATCCAGAGGCCTTCGGGTGGCTCATGCCTGTAATTTCAACACTTTGGGAGGCTGAGGCGAGAGGACTGCTTGAGGCCAGGAGTTCAAGTCAACCTGGGCAACACAGGAAACGTGTGTGTGTATTTTTTTTTTTTTTTTTTTGATGGAGTTTCACTCTTGTTGCCCAGGCTGGAGTGCAATGGTGCAATCTCAGCTGACCACAGTCTCTGCCTCCAGGGTTCAACTGATTCTTCTGCCTCAGCCTCCTGAGTAGCTGGGATTACAGGCATGTAGCATCACGCCTGGTTAATTTTGTATTTTTAGTAGAGATGGAGTTTCTCCATGTTGGTCAGGCTGGTCTCGAACTCGTGACCTCAGGTGATCCACAGGCCTCAGCCTCCCAAAAGCGCTGGGATTACAGGCATGAGCCACCGGGCCTGGCTCTTCTTTTTTTTTTTCTTTTTCTTTTTTTTTTGAGACAGAGTCTCGCTCTGTCACCCAGGCTGGAGGGCAGTGGTGTATTCTAGGCTCATTGCAACCTCCACTTCCCGGGTTCAAGCGATTCTTCTGCCTCAGCCTCCCAAGTGGCTAAGATTACAAGAGTGCGCCACCACGTCCAGCTAATTTTTGTATCTTTAGTAGAGACAGAGTTTCAACATTGTTGGTCCGTCTGGTCTCGAACTCCCGACCTCAGGTGATCCGCCCACCTCAGCCTCCCAAAGTGCTGGGATTACAGGCATTAGCCACCACGCCTGACAAAAAAAAAAAAAAAGTGTGTGTGTGTATATATATATATATATATAGATAATTAATAATAAAGATTTAGAAGCCTTTTGTTGTCATGTTTGAGAACTTATTACGTACCTGGCATTGTTGTAGACACTGGTTAAGGCAGGGAAGAAATCATGCAAAATCCTTCCGTTTTCGTGATGGGGGAAGGAGAGCTTGAAGCCGTTTTAGAAAAACGAAGTGACTCAGTGGGGCAGGATCGGAGAGAACCAGGAGAGCGCATCAGGCCAGGTCGTGAGGGGCTTTGTGGCAAAAGGAAGGAGCTTGAAGTTTGTCTTCAGGGCGGTAGGAAGCCATGAACAGAAGCGGAGGAGTCATCTTAATGGAGAGGGGAAGGAGAGAGGATGTCCCAGGAGGGACCACCAGAGGACGTGCTGAGAAAACCAGGGGATTAAGAAGTGGCAAAGGGGTAACATGAGCGGGGCGGGCAAGAGAAGGGCAGTAAGGGGGCGGGGCTCCGGTCGCCTAGGCAACGCGGGCCGCACCACACTATTGGCTGGTCTTTTGCTACGTCATCTCCCGCGCCCCAGCGTCCGCCCTCGGAACCCCCGGGGCACGGCTTCCTCAGGCTGCTAGACCCCGCCCTCCGGTACATCGGGGTGGGGAGGGACATGTCAGCCCCTCTGCTCCGTGGTGGGGTCCAGGCCTATCAAAAAGGGATTACAGGAAGCAGTGGTGACGATCTTGCAGCAAGGACAGTAGCTGAGTGGAAGGAAGCGGTTCTGCTGGCTCCGCCGCCCTCCACCCCCGAGGCGCTGCCCGCCCCCTGCCAGTAGCACTCCTTTAAATGGCTCAGGGCGCTAGGGAGGGGTAGGCGGGTCCGGCGTCTAAGGGCGGGGGCCGGTGGCTACGCCCAGCCAATCGACGTCCCGCGGCGGGCAGGTCTCCAGCCAATCGCGGCTCGGCTATGGGGCAGGAATGGGTGGGCCCGAAGCCAGACGGAGAGGCCCAGCCGCGGTGAGCGAGGCCCCAGCCCGTCACTGGTGGGTCCCGGCACTGGCTGGTCACGACGCTGCGGGCGTTCCTGAAGGTGGTTGGGGCGATCCTGGCAGCTGAGGTGAAGAGCGATCGCCTGACTTGGGAATCTACCTTGGGCCGGAGGAGGGAGAGGCGCGCCCCGGTGATTTGCGGAGGCGGGGTCTGGGTGAGACCCGGGGTGGGGGTATCAGATTCAGGGTGTTGATAGGGAGGGTCTGGGGACCCGAGACTGAGTTCGAGACCCCGGAGGGGAAGCAAGGTTGGGGCAGTATTTTCAAGTGGAGGGAGTTCGAAGTTGGGACGTGGGTCGTTTGAAGAAGCGAGAGAACAGAGGGGAGGAACTTTTGAGATGGGGAACCTGGAGATTCGATTCCACTTGGGTCTTCGGGACAGGATGAATTCGGGGCGTTATCGTGTTCTTGGAAAAGGTATGAGATTTGGGAGTGAGATCCGGAGCATTTGGAGAAGCGAGATAGAGTCAAGGATTCTTGGACTCCAAGACGCACTCGTGGGGGAAAGGGGATTGCCGGAAAGATTTCAATGTTGGGGTCTTGGAGCCGGACAGCGAGTTTGGAGGTGAAGTCCAGGGGCGTTTGAAAGTCAGGAGAATAGAAGTGGGAGGAAGTATCAAAATTAGGATACGTAGTCTCCCGAACTAGATCGTAGCATTGTAGTCTTTGAGCGATGTGTTCGGACTTGGGTCTCTGGACCCAAGGGCAGTTTGGGAGGAGAATCCCGGACTTAGAAGGAACGGAGGCACCAGGAGAAGGCAGATTTAGAGCCGCAGTCTGGGGTGGGGGAGGGGTGTTCCGGGTTTGGAGCTCGGACTCGCCGCCCGGGAGGCAACGGAGGGCGGGGCTTGGCGGGCGCCTGCAGCTGGACGTCCGGGTGCCCTTCCCCCACCCGCCCTTGCCCCTGTGCGCATGCCCTGAGGGAGGGCGGGGGAGTGGGTTCGTCCCCTGGAGGAGCGGAGCCCTCTGGGGATTGTGGTGCGTGCTCGACGTCAATTCGTGTACCTGGCGGCTGTTGGCCCCGGTTTCCCAGAAGACCTTGGGCCAAATTGGGGCGTTTCTGGATTCTCTAAGGACCCGTGAAGGGGCGGGGCCTTTGCAGCGCCGAGGTCTGATTGGGTGGGTCCCCTAGGGGCGGGGCTTGGTCTGAGCTGAGTTCAAGCAAGTTTTCCTATGGGGCGCTATTTGGGGGAAGCTGAAAGCACAGCAGCGGGAATGAGACAGACCCCTCTCCTACTCTTGGGAGAGCTCCCAGTCGGTTAAGAAAGAGGGAATAGACAGAAATTTCCTGACTGTAGAAGAATCTCAAAATACAGGTGCCCCAAAAGGGCTCCAGGAGGCTCGAATACAGTAGGCACTCGGTAAATCTGTTGGGTGAATAACTGGCAATTAACTCTTGATCGAGGCCTGGTGTGGTGGTAATCCCAGCTCCTCAGGAAACTGAGGCGAGGATCCCTTGAACTCCGAACTTGGAGACTGCGGTGAGCTATGATCGCTCAGCTGCACTCAGCCCCGGGTTAGACCCTGTCTCTAACAAAACAAACACAACTCTTGTTCATTAAGCAGTTCCTGTGTGATGGGCCCTATGCATACTTTTCATCTCCTTGACAGCGGTGGTAAGAAGTATTTTTTAAGGGCCACATTTTACAGATAAGGAAACTGAGGCCGTAAGAGGTAATTCACTCAGGTCACTTCCCACAATCACGCAGCTGAGCGGTTTCCAAGACAGAATTCAAATTTGGGGTTCCCGACTTCTAATCCAGGTCTCATTTGCTCCACACTTATCTTGCGTGCTCCATGTTTGAAGAAATGAGTATTGTGGAAGAACAGTTTTAAGGCACAGAGGAACTTGAGTTAGGATCCGTACTTTGCAGATGAGGAAATTCTCATGGATGTAAATGCACTACCCTTTGAGACCACAACAGGCAAGTAAGTAGGATTTAAATCTAGTTGTACTTAAGTCCAGATCTTATTTTCTTTTGTTTATTTATTTATTTATGAGACAGAGTTTCGCTTTTGTTGCCCAGGCTGGAGTACAATGATGCAATCATGGCTAACTACAACCTCTGGCTCCAGGGTTCAAACGATTCTCCTACCTCAGCCTCCTGAGTAGCTGGGATTACAGGCACGCGCCACCACGCCCAGCTAATGTTTTGTATTTTTAGTAGAGACGGGGTTTCACCATGCTGACCAGGATGGTCTCGATCTTTTGACCTCGTGATCCACCCGCCTCGGCCTCCCAAAGTGCTGGGATTACAGGCTTGAGCCACCGCGCCCGGCCTATTTTCTTGATCCTCTATGTACTCACCTCCTTAACCTTGTAGGGTTCAGACAGCCTTCATTTTATAGATGATTAAACTGAGATTCAGATGATTAAAAATCACCACCAATTCAATTGGCCTGAGAAGGTGGGATTTGAGCCAGCAGTACAGTGCCTGGTGTCTGACATGCTCCTATGCCCCTCTTCTCTCCACAGGGCATCATGGTGGGAGGCCTGAAGCGGAAACACTCTGATTTAGAAGAGGAGGAGGAGGAGGAGGAGAGGTGGGAGTGGAGTCCAGCAGGCCTTCGGAGCTACCAGCAAGCCCTGCTCCGCATCTCCCTAGACAAAGTCCAGCGCAGCCTGGGCCCCCGAGCACCCAGCCTCCGCAGGCATGTGCTCATCCACAACACCCTCCAGCAGCTGCAGGCCGCACTTCCCCTGGCTCCTGCCCCTGCCCTGCCCCCCGAGCCCCTCTTCCTGGGCGAGGAGGATTTCTCCCTGTCGGCCACCATTGGCTCTATCCTCAGGGAGCTGGAGACCTCCATGGATGAGACTGAGCCCCCTCAGAATCCAGTGGCTCCCTTGAGCCTCCAGAATGAAGTGCCACCCCAGCCTGATCCAGTCTTCTTAGAAGCTCTGAGCTCCCGGTACTTAGGGGACTCTGGCCTGGACGACTTCTTTCTGGACATTGACACATCTGTGGTGGAAAAGGAGCCTGCATGGGCCCCACCGGAGCCTCCTCACAATCTCTTCTGTGCCCCAGGTTCCTGGGAGTGGAATGAACTGGATCACATCATGGAAATCATCCTGGGATCCTAAAACTGTGATGCAGGGAATCCTTCCTGTGTCATCTTCAGGGGGGCTGGATCATTGAATGCAACTCTGGGTGTGTTTTTGTGGGGGCTCTAAGCACCGACTATGGCCTCCTTTCCTCCCATTTCAGGGTTCCACAAACTGTCTTGCGTGTGTGTGTGTGTGTCTGTGTCTGTGTCTGGTTACCCCGGCCTTCTGTGAAGGTGGGTCTTCTTGAATTAATTTATCTGTTCCAAATGCCTTAATGAGACTCTGTTCCTAGGAGTCTGATTTTCCACTTACACATTTCTTCCGCCTTTCCCACTCGTTCCCACTCCCCTGTGACCACTGGGGCCTCAGGGAAGATAAAGAAAGCTGGGCCTGTAGAAGAATGGCAGGGATGTGCCGCCATGACGCTGCAGAAACCCAGGCTCGGCTTCTTGCACCTTGAGGGGTGGGAGGGGCTGGTCTCCTCCCTCCAGGCTGAACCCCACTTCCTTGGCAGGACCCCAGTCTCTGTAGCCTCCTGATTTCAGAGCCTGGCCGGACCACGTGCAATAGGGTAGAAACCAAACTGCTCCATGCCACGTTATTTAAAAAGAAAGGCAGAATTTGTGGTGGCTTTTTTTTTTTATTGTTTGTAATTTTTTTAAATAAAAGTATTTTGGAAGGAGTGATGTTGTCTTAAGTTTCTAAACTTCACTGGGTCAGTGGGAGGGACCTAGTAAGTTCCTGAACATGTGCCCCACTTCCCTGCATAGTTGGGGCAAGTGTACCATTGTACCTGACATTTACTGAGTGCTTGTGGGCTAGGTACTCTAGTTCCCACTTGTAATCCTAGCACTCTGGGTGGCCAAAAGTGCTGGTATGGCGAAGCACCGCCTCTACAAAAAATACAAAAAAGTACCTTGGTACAGTGGCACACACCTGTAATCCCAGTTACTGAACTGGGGAGGCCAAGTTAGGAGGACCACCTGAGCCTGGGAGGTTGAGGCTGCAATAAGCCATGATCGCAACACTGCACTCCAGCCTCAGAAAAATGAGTGCTTATGGCCACTTTATTTGAATTAAGTCCTTTAATCTTCATAATTACATGGAAGTAGGTACTATTCCCACTTTTCATACAGGAGGAACCTGAAGTTCAGAGAGGCCAAGTCACATAATTCAGGGCCACACAGCTAGGAAGAGTAAGGACCAGGGAGCTAGGCTGAAACTAGGCCTCCAGAGCCTTGTCCTTCACTATTACAAATGTTACTGCTTAGACTCCAGCCCCGTGGGTGTGCACAGGAGGGAGAAACTGAGTTACATGGAGTATGTCACTGAATGGGCTGCTAAGGCCCAGAGGGACAAGAAATGCCCAAAGACCCATGTACTAAAAGACCTCTTCAGGACAGTTGGCTAGGAAGCAGAGCACAGATTAGAGTTACGGTGCTAACGCTTTTTTTTTTTTTTTTTTTTTTTTTTTTTTTAAAGGTTTTTTTTTTTTTTTTTTTTTTTTTTTTGAGACAGAGTCTCACTCTTGTCACCCAGGCTGGAGTGCAGTGGTGTAATCTCAGCTCATTGCAACCTCCGTCTCCTGGGTTCAAGCAATTCTTCTGCCTCAGCATCCTGAGTAGCTGGGATTACAGGCGTGTGCTGCCATGCCTGGCTAATGTTTGTGTTTTTAGTAGAGATGAGTTTTCACCATGTTGGCCAGGCTGGTCTCAAAATCCTGACTTCGTGATCTGCCTGCCTCAGCCTCCCAAAGTGCTGGAATTACAAGCGTGAGCCACTTCGCCTGGCCTGATTTTTTTTTTAAGTAGAGACGGTTTGACCATGTTGGTCAGGCTGGTCTCAAAACTTCTGACCTCAAATGACCCGCCTGCCTTGGCCTCCCAAAGTGCTGGGATTACAAGGCATGTGCCACTGTGCCTGGCCTGTGCTGATGCTTTATTTGGGAGGTGCAGGCCCAGGCTGCTGAGATACGGAAAAGGAGAAAGGAGGTGAAGGAAGCAATAATGTGATACCTACCTGTACTGGCTATGCGTTTACAGTGGTCTTTGAAGAGATGAAGCAAGTAAGCTTACACAGCATTAGGGACTTTTCCGGAGGGGTTGCAAGGAGGAACCACACCTGGGTCTAGTCCATGGGCAGAGAAAGGATGGGGATTTTGCTTGTGGTTTCTGGGTCAAAGCCAGATTACTCAACCTGAAAGGTGTCATTGTCAAAAAGTGAAGGGATAACCTGAATGGGGGTGCCAATCCAGAGAGAGAGGAATGAGGTGGCCCAGGGGATCTCTAGAAAGCAGACAGGTATGATGTTTGCTGTGGGCTTATAAAAAATAAAAACAAAGGCCAGGCATGGTGGCTTACCTGTAATCCCAGCATTTTGGGAGGCCGAGGTGGGGGGGATCACCTGAGGTCAGGAGTTCGAGACCAGCCTGGCCAACATGGAGAGACCCCAGCTCCATAAAAATAAATAAAAGGCAAGCCACCAGGTCTACATTGCAATATGATGGCAATTGAATCATGTCTTCCTCCTTGAAACCTCCAGTGCCGTTTTTTTTTTTCTTTTGAGACAGGGTCTGGCTCTGTTGACCCGGCTGGTCTCGAACTCCTGGAATCAAGCGATTCTCCTGTCTCAGCCTCCCAAAGTGATGGGATTACAGGCATGAGCCTCCACACCCAGCCTCCAGTGACTCCTTGTCACACTCAGAATAAAACCCCAACTCCACCAAGACCTAGAAGGACTGACTTACTCTCACTTTAGACAACTTTCTCAGTTCCATCTTCCACTCCGTCCTTCACTCAACTCCCTTGACCCCAGCTCCTTCTCACCCCAGGGCCTTTGCCCTTACTGTTAAATCTGCCCAGTTGACATTTTCCCCAATAGCTTCACCAATCCTAATACCTCCTTCTGAGAGAGGCCTTCCCTGCCCTTCCTAGCTCAACACATCCAGGTGGGTCACCACTCCACCACAACCTGTTTGATTTTCTTTTTTCTTTTTCTTTTCTTTTTTTTTTTTTTAGATGGAGTCTTGCTCTGTCACCCAGATTGGAGTGTGGTGGCATGATCTTGGCTCACTGCAGGCTCCACCTCCCGGTTCCAGCAATTCTCCTGCCTCAGACTTCTGAGTAGCTGGGATTACTGCTGCACACCACCACGTCTGGCTAATTTTTGTATTTTTAGAAGAGAGGGGGTTTCACCATGTTGGTCAGGCTGGTCTTAAACTCCCGACCTCAGGTGATCTGCCCGCCTTGGTCTCCAAAGTGCTTGGATTACAGGTGTGAGCCACCGTGCCCGGCCCCCTGATTTTCTTTTAGTAGCACCTACCCAATCTCGAGTTACTTATTTCCCAACTCTAGGTAGCCTCATACTCCTAGGAACTCTGGGATTTGTGTTGGTCTGTGCCTAGAACTATGCTTGGCACAAGTGCGCTCTCAAAAATTATTTGTTGTTGAAAAAATCAGCCAGGTGCAGTGTCTCATGCTTGTAATCCCAGCACTTTGGGAGGCTGAAGCACGAAGATTGCTTGTGTCCAGTTCAAGACCAGCTTGGGCAACATAGGGAGACCTCACCTCTACAAAAAATTAAAATTAGCTGGGCTGGTAGCATGCCCTTGTAGTCCCACTTACTCAGGAGGCTGAGGTGGGAGGATTGCTTGAGCTCAGGAGATAGAGGCTGCAGTGAGCAGAGAGAGCGCCACTGCACTCCAGCACTCCATCAGTGCGACAGAGTGAGATCCTGTCTCAAAAACAAAAAAATAGGGAAAAAAAAAAAAACTCTAGACTTAGCAATGGCTAACCTTCCCTCCCATCTCTCTGAACTCATCTCCCCTACATACCCTCACTCGTATACTCCCACCACAGCATTCTCTGCTGTTCCTCAAATACACCACACTCCAAACTGAAGATGTGGAGTAATACCTGCCTCACAGAGCAGTGTCAGGGGGAGCCTGAGGTACACCAGGGACTCCGATAATGGCTCAGGTTTACTGAGTGCCTGCTGTGGGCCTGGCACTCTTCAGCAGGAACATGAATAAAATAGGCAATCCCAGCTCTCATGAGGTGTAGCCATGGGGGAAGAGTGAAATACACAAGAAAAATAATGCCAGGCACAGCAGCACCTGGCGACTATCCCAGTAACGCAGGCGGCTGAGGCAGGAGGATCGTCGGAGACCAAGAATTCAAGACCAGCTTGGGCAACATAATAAGACCACATCTCTAAACTAATGGAAAAAAAAATTAGCTGGGCACACTAGTCCCAGCTATTCAGAAGACTTGGGTGGGAGGATCCCTTGAGCCCAGGAGTTGAGGTTACAGTGAGCTGTGATCGCAGCACTGCACTGCAGCCTAAGTGACAGAGTGAGACTGATAAAACAAACAAATAAATAAAAAAAGGCCGGTCGTGGTGCCTCATGCCTGTAATCCCAGCACTTTGAGAGGCTGAGGCAGGTGGATCACCTGAGGTCAGGAGTTCAACACCAGCGTGGCCAACACAGTGAAACCCCATCTCTACTAAAAATGCAAAAAATTAGCTGGGTGTGATGGCAGGCTACTCAGGAGGCTGAGGCAGAAGAATGGCTTGAACCTGGGAAGTGGAGGTGACAGTGGGCCAAAATCACACCATTGCACTCCAGCGTGGGAAACAAGAGCAAGACTCTCTCAAAAATAAATACATAAATAAATACATAAATAAATAAGGCCGGGTGCTGGGCTCATGCCTGTAATCCCAACACTTTGGGAGGCCAAGGTAGGTGGATTATTTGAGGTCAGGTGTTCAAGACCAGCCTGGCCAACATGGTGAAACCCAATCTGTACTGGAAATAGAAAAATTAGCCAGGCTGGGTGCAGTGGCTCACCCCTGTAATCCCAGCACTTTGGGAGCCTGAGGCAGGTGGATCACCTGAGGTCAGGAGATTGCAACCGGCCTGACCAACATGGAGAAACCCTGTCTCTACTAAAAACACAAAATTAGCGGGCCATGGTGGCACACGCCTGCAATCCTAGCTAGCTGGGAGGCTGAGGCAGGAGAATTGCTTCAACCTGGGAGGTGAAGGTTGTGGTGAGGCAAGATGGGGCCACTGCACTCCAGCCTGGGCAGCAAGAGTGAAACTCTGGCTCAAAAAAAAAAAAAGAAGTGAAAATGTTTAAGCCTGCCAGGTAGTGATAAACGCTGTGGGGGAGGGGGGAAGCAGGCCAGTAAGGAGGTTGGGGTTGCTATTTAGATAGCACGGCGAGATAGGGCCTCAGTGATAAGGTGACATTTGGGTAAATCCTGAAGAAGCCCCAGGAGAGGTGGCTCCCCGTGTAGTCCCAGCACTTTGGGAGGCCACAGCGGGTGGATTTCAGTTCATGACTCTGAGGCCAGCCTGACCAACATGGTGAAACCCCATCTCTACTACAAAGTACACAAACTGGACGGCCGCGGTGGCTCCCGCCTGTAATCCCAGCACTTTAGGAGGCAGAGGTGGGCGGATCACCTGAGGTCAGGAGTTCGACAGCAGCCTGGCCAACAGGGCGAAAACCCGACTCTACTAAAAATACAAAAATTAGCCGGGCGTGGTGGCGCATGCCTATAATCCTAGCTACTCCGGAGACTGAGGAGAATCGCTTGAACCCGGGAGGCAGAGGTTTCGGGAAGCAGAGATCGCGCCACTGCACTCCAGCCTGGACAACCAGAGCAAAACTCCTTC